AAAGACACCATCTCTGCAAGTGCCTTGCACTTTATGTGCCATAGAAAATACTAATTGCAACCACAGTAAGCTACTTCTGGGGGATGGGCTGCATTTTGTATTTTACACTGTACCTAGTAAGTTGAAAACAACTGAAGAAAATTGATTCAAAGATACAACTGAAAGAGAAGCACAAAATAATGGATGCTTAAATACAGATTGGTAAGAAAATACTAAAATAAAACAAACAAACAAACAAAACCCCATAGGTCTCAGTGCCTGTTAGATTCCAAATTCAGATATACTCCACTTAAACTCCTTGTTCCAAACAGAGATTGCTAAAATGAAGCTCCCTTCAAGCAATCTTATGCAAGTTGATAGAACTAATCCACCCCTGCATTGATCGGTGACTGCACAATCTCATTTAAAGCACCTCAAAGTGCTGATAATTCTTGCTGGTTGTTCATCTCAAGAGGAGGGAAAATTGCAAGTATGCTGCAATCAAACTAAATGTGAAATTTGCTACCCAAAAGCACATGTGTCCTTGAAGATGTGGCACCATGCAATACGCCTAGTGCAAGTGAACACAACTGGCTGCGTCCCACCTACTTCAAGGACATATACTATGATTTCAGTGCCCTCCTGTTTATCACAACAGCACACATCCTTTTCAGATGCAAATTACACCCAAATCACTTCAGTAATTGCAATGTAAAAAGCATCTAAGCTCAAGTCCACACTCCCACACAATTCAGCAGAGTGTACAAATCCCACTGCTGTGGTTCATCTAACTTGAACTTTACAATGCCAGAACTGGACGACTACAAATACCAATATATCTTACATACATTATAAATACTAATATACTTTACTACTGCTGCTGTTATACTATAAGACTCCAATAAAGACAGTTCCTTTAACTGAGCTAATATATGTCTATGCCAGTTTGCTGTTGCACTAGTGAACTCCTAATCTGAAACTCCTTTCTTATCTGTGACAGAGATATTTTCTTTTACAGAATTATAAACTAAATCACAATGAAATTAAGTAACTTCCCATATTCACATAACAACAGAGACATAATGAATTGGACATCTCAACCCCGACTTTCAAACCATTAGTTACACTAGCTCAACACACACCCCAATAGCACAGTAGGTGTGTAGTAAACAGTCTGAGGAGCTTTTAACTACCCTGTGAACCTTTCACCATTGATGCCAGGTTCTATAAGCATAGTAAAAAAAAGATGAAATATTGTCCCTTTCCACTGGGATATGTTTTTAGTTTGGAACTAATTCCTCTTCACTGCCTCATGGTCCCCAGCACCCCAATGCAGGCAAAGGACAGTACCTGTGCCTTACTCTGCTGCTGCTAAGTCTAAGAAGAGAGAGCTGTTTCCAGCATGCAGAGCTTCCAGGACGTCAAAGTATCAGAACCTTATTGCTCACTGAAATTTTAATCTGCTTTTCTTTCTTCTCTCCACATTCTTTGTCACCAGCTACAGAGATGTTAAAAAATAGTATGAGATATGATGCAATACACGTGGATAGCAGTAGTCTTTCTTGACTCCACAATCTTTCTAGAGCTTGACAACCAACAAGTAAAACACAAATTATCTCCCCTTTCTTGCTCCTCTTCATAGATAGAATAGAATAGAATAGAAATGAGCTCATTCCTCAGTCACCACAATATGCTATTATTTCATCTGGAAACAGTAACTGAAATCACAGAAATGTCTTTTCATGGTAAAATTCGTATAGATTAAGAAAACACTATGGATTCACTAACATTAATACCATCCTTAATAAAATTTAAAAGCCACTCTATCATTAAAGGAAAATTGTGATCCAACAGTTTAGAACTCTCCATGATATGTCTATCATTATCTTCCAAAAAAACCCCAAGGTGATATCCAACACCACTTACAGGCACCCAGGTGTTTCTGAAATGTGCTTGGCCAGCACAGCTCTAGTCAGCTCATCTCCCATACGCTGACAGAGCTGCAAGTGTTTAGGGTTAAAAGTACTACTACACCTTCAGTAATAACACTGGTCCATGATCTTTTGCTTACATTTCATTTAATACTTCACATGGCAGAGTACTGTTGTACACCACATTGGTGACAGCAGTTCAAAGTATGATACCAAGAAACACCCAAATTATCAACGTAATTTTCTTATTGTACCCAGGTTTTCTTTTTAATTTTAATACTGTGGTATGAATTGACACAGACAAGGATGCAGTCATGAAGAAGCTGAGAAGAATCCCATAAGGAACCAGGAGCATTTCAGTTCCAACAACTAGGTGCAATATTTGTCCCCTGAAACAGTCCAGAGCTGCTCGGTGAAGTGGACCTGTTTATTTATACAATCTCCCATCTAGAGCACCTATGTGTGCTTGCAGAAATGCAACTGAAGCTTCAGGTGATGAGCACAAACAATACAACAACCCATCATAAGGGCAAAACTGTACTCTTCTAACACTGGGCAAGGGAAAAGCAGCTTGCTCGTGTTCTGCTGCCACTTTACAACTGCAGTGTTTGACTTAGATATCACAGGTATACCTGGCCAAAGCCTCCAGGTCTAGCTATCCTCCTTGAAAAGCTGAGGACTCGTTACCAAGGAGAGAAAAAAAGTAACCACCCTGCAACAACCTTGTATTCCTGTTAGAATCTTGCAGAGCCGTGGCACTGCAAGATTTCAAAGTTTCACCATAGAGTAACTAACAGCATCCTAACGTACATGTTAAAATGACACACTGCAGCTATTTTCTCTTCCCGCTACTCCACATACATCAGCTTCTTCTCTTTCCCCACCATCTGTTAGTTTGCTGCAGTCTGCTGGGACAGGACTGCCCTCTCCTTTTCTCCCCTTCTTGGCTGCTCAAAGGGACGTCGACAGAGTCTAGCATTTCCAGTCTATAAACTCAGCTTTCCTCCAGCTGCCTCAGAAACATTAACAAAACGAGAGTTACTCCCATGAATCAAAAGTGCTCTGCTCACCTCTGCCATACCAGTGAGCTCCACCAGAATTCCACGCTAGACACTGAAACACCTTGTAAGCGGTTAGCAAGGAGGTAACTGCTCCTTCAAGAGGACATACCATTTCCTCTTATCCTCAAGATTCGTTGATTAAAAGAGATATCTGCATCATGGGAACTGTCAGAAAGAAACTAAGGCAAGTAGCATTGAGAATGACCATATGCAGCTTCTTATTGCACCTTTTCTTAGAAGGAACAGGTAGTAAGAAAATAAAACAGAAAAAATCAGTCAGGTAGGTGAACAGTAATCTTCAAATATCTAATACTATAAACCTCAGTATAAGACGTGTAGCAAACAACTACTTCTCCTTCTAATACAGTTCAGAATGGGAAAAGGAAGGGCTATCTAAACTCCACTACACTTGCAGCAAGTTAGAAAGGAAACTGGAATGGTGGTCATCAATTGTTCTATCAGCTGGGTCATTAGAAAAAGGAACAGCTCATTTAAAAATAAAGTCAATATTTGCAGAGTCTAAACAGTTTCTTCAGCATTTCACGTGCATATTTAAGCAATGAACACTATTATTCTGTGCTCGTAACCACATGCCCCCAAGTCAATAACAGTTCTCGAACATCCGACCTCTTTTTAAAGCAGATTTACAAGGAAATATAGTGAAAGTGTTCCAAATTAGCTGGTGAGAAAGTATTATGAATCACAACCACACAGTAAATAATTGCTAGTTCTTCCAATCTGCAAAATTAGAATAAATCTGGCATTAAAAAGAAAAAAAAAAAAGAAATTCATTATATCAAATATACACAACCTTACACTTCAAAATTAACTCGACTGGACTTGGATAATATTCAGGATGATATTAAATGTTTTAAATCCCCAAAGCTTTGAACTACAGTTAACCTCTTCCACTATGCGCTTCAGTAAGCAATTACAAAAAACACTATACCTTTACAAAATCACTATACCTTTATGCTTCTCACACTCACAGCTCACAAACACATAAACACAAATGAAATGTAGCTTTCTTTGGGGTGGGAAATCACCAATATCTATTGTAACACACTGACACAAAGATTAGTTTTACAGAATGACTTTATTTAGCAAAGACAGATTTTCCTGCTTTCCAATCTTTTCACACTGGCAGTCAGCAAATAAAAACAATCAAGAGCATTTATGCCTATCTTTAATTTCAGGGAAGCATTCGAAAGCGTCATGCTGCTCTGTACCACGCAGGCTATAACTGGGATGCCTTTCTGGCAAGTCCCTTGCAGGTCAGCTGAAGGAAGCCCCGACTTACCTAGGCCGTCCCAGGGAGGGCTCCGTCCGGCAGCGAGGGCAGCGCCGATGCAGACGGGACGCCAAGCTCCGAGCCACAGGCGCAGTCAGCTCCTTGGAGCGGCAGCCCTGTCTGCTATTATGTCTGCAGCGTATAAGCGGCAGCTTAGCGGTATCTATACAAAAATCTGCATCTTCCTCAGAGAAAAACACTTGAAGCTTCTTACTGGCACCGCAACCTACTCCTCTATTTATTCCATCACAGCTAGTGACTAAGAAGATGCTTTTAGTGTCACCGGAGATGAAGGCTCTGGAAGGAGAGTGCCTGGCAGCTTTACTCACACAAACCGATCTGTCTTCATGCAAACGCACTTTGTCGGCGGATGGAATTGTATTATTGCCACATACGCTACCGAGGCGGAACAGTTTCCAAGTTTTCCCACAGGGCACCAGCTCCCCCTTCAAGCTGTACCCCAGTGCTTGCTCCTTCTAGTCCTTCTCCGAAGCCTCCCCCCGAAAACAGACACACACACACCCCGCCTTGCACCTGTCCGCTACTCCCGACTGGGAGCGACCTCCCAGCCCGGCGCCGCCCGCAGAGCCGCTCCCGCCGGGTTTCGGGGCTCCGCTCTCCGCGGCGGGACCAGCGCCGGGATCCCGCTGCCAGGGCAGAGCCGAGCGGCAACCGCTCGCCACACAGATGCGGATAAGCAGGAAAACAGCGGCAAGGAGAGCAGCCCACTCCCATTACCTTAGCAACCGCTACGCCGCCGTCCCCGGCCGCCCCTTCGCCTCTCCTCAGGCACGGGGAAGCGCCCTCCGCATGGCGTGAGCCTGCGGGCGGGGCCGGCGGGCAGCACGGGCTCCTCTCCGCGCCTCTTCCAAAAACCTCCTGTTCTCCTCAGCGCCCCTCAGGCTGCGGCAGGGACGGCGGCCGGGGCGAAGCCGCTGCCACCAGAGCACGGCGGGCACAGAGCGGGCACACAGCACCCGCCCGGCCCCGCGCTGCCGCCGCCCGACCCTCCGCCGGGCGGGCGGGGGCGGTGACGGGGCGGCCCCGGCCCCACCGCAGCAGCGCCCGCTGCGGGCGGCCCGGCCGCACCTCCCACGCCCGGCACCGCCGCCGCTTCCCCCCTGGTTCCGAGCCGGCCGCCCTTTGCCGGTGACGGGGAGGAAGCTTCAGCCCCCGCGTCCCGCCACCCCAGCTGCTTCTGGGGCACTCGGCGCAGCCCCCGAGTCAGGGCCTTGTATCTGTGTTGCACTCTTGATTATGTGTTGCATAGCTCAATTAAAGCGTTCTGCAAAATTCTTTCACCTGAGACCAGGAAAGCCTCATCTCTGGGTGACGCTCCTCCAACAGCCAGGATTTCCTAGCTAACGGCCGGGCTCACAAGATGTTCAGGGCTCCGCACGCCAGCATCAGTCCTAACAACCACCACATCTCAACAAAACGGTTTGGAGACCCAGCTCTTTTACACAGACCTGTCCCACGGGCAAAAGCCATTGCTGTTGGCTAGGAGGAGTTTCCACACATTAATTAGGTGTGCAAAGTAGCTTGCATACTTCCTATGGATATTATTCACCGATTTCTCTGTTGGATGAGATTTCTACTACCTTTCTTTTCCTCCAGAAGGCAAATTAAGCCCACCATGCCCAAAATTGACTGTCAGGTCTGAAAGACACATGCTGGAAAGCAGTAGGGCAGACCACTGACAGGAGGCACCCACTCCTCTCTCTGTGCTAAAATTTCTGCATTTCCAAGCTTTAGTTTCCAGACATTGGACTCACTATCACAGTTGAAAATCTTCACAGAGTTGTTAAGGCTGCCAGCTGCACAGAGGAAAGGCTACTTTACTGACCTGTGTGGCTTGTCTTAAAGGCCCTTCTGTGGTGACCCTGTTCCCCCCCTTCCCTAACATCTTACCAAAACTAGGCTTAAATTTCACAAGCCTGATGACTGATACCAAAAGCTATCGTGTGCAGGGATATCCTGTTATTTTATGGCTGCAATCTGCCCAGCATGCTTTCTGGTGATGTCTGGTACACTAAACCGCTACAATAATTCAGATGTTAAATTAAGAAGAAAAATTTATTTCTGGAGCAACTCTACATCACTTCCATCTCTACTGGATCAATATCACTATCTCTACCATTATTGGCTACTCTTTCCTTAGTCTTGCAAAAGCCAGGTTCCAGCCTGTACAGTTTGTACATGCTTCTTCTAAAATGTCCTTCATCATCACAGACTATACCTGTCACACTCAAAATTGCATCTTAGTGGCAAAAATCTGCAGTTGTGCATCACATGAGTGCGTTGACCCTTACTAGACTTCACAGGTTGTTGATTCAATTGATTTGTTTCAGAGTTCAGCTGTGGGCATTTAAAAACTTCTGCAGCAGGTTAAAACATTCTGATCTTGGTGGACCTTCCCTGATTTTTTTGTTCAAAGAGATTGCACCTCTCAAAGATCACAGTTTATTTTGGGGATACTTTTTTTTTAAATAAAATTAATCTAAAAAGTAGTTCCATTTATATAAAGTTTGAATTTAAACTACTTTTAATTCCCTTCAGATTAACCTAAGCGTGTTATACATTATTTGTCACACAAGGTTGTTTGGCAAAGGAGGAAAGAGAGAATGGCTACCTATGAAATAAAGATTTCTTTTTTTACAGACATTTTCTCAGCAGAGCATTTTAAATCAATAGTTATATTGAGTTATGCTGGGGTATGACTACTTGTAACATCAAGGAATAAATATTTCAGTGTCTTATATCAGATTTGTTTAGGAAAAACTGTTTCATGACTGCTCTACACAGTCTTTCTCACAGCTCTCTCAAAGAAATGTACATGCATTACACAGTGCTTAAATATATTTAACTCAGACTAAAATGCATGTTCTACAGAAATTTTCAAAATAAAAGGTTGATAGAAAATATTTCACATGTGTATTAACACTGGAATTCAAAGAAACTACCAATATGTTTCCTGGCAGTATTTCCAGGCTGAGTATTACTGTACTACAGCAGCACATGACGCTGAAAAAGGAAGCTGAACAGAAACACTAAAGAAAAAGTGACCTTTGTGCTTATTTTAATTTTGCTCAACAGAAGAAATTGTAACTGACAAGTACAAACAAAAGGAAAGGAAAATGATTAAAAAAACCCAGTTTAAATGGCATTTCAGATTTGGATAATATTTCATGTCTTATTTCCACATTCTATGCTATAATGAAATGAATCTTTGCCTAGTGGCTTCTCTCAAGTAGCAACTATTCTTTGGTCCATGGAAGTAAGAAATAGTATGAAGAAAAATGCCTTAGCAACATTTTTTAATTTCATGTATTAACTACTAAAATAAATGAAACATAATTAAAACCAGATAAAACCAAGCTGGGTTTGTATTTGCACTGATCTTTATGCTGAAAACAATGTAGTCAGACTAAGTTCATCACAGGGATCATTTCTCAGTTTAACCTCTTTCCCAGTGGGAGAGTCCAGCAGTTTGACAAGTATGATTAGAGATGCGGGAACAGTTCCATTTAGATCAGTGGGACATCTCGAGTTGATACAGAACTATGCACATACAGCAGTGTTTGCAGAAAAAGACCTTCCATCTGAAACACTGTTATGCTCAATAATCACTGGAGAAGAATGCATGGGGAGGGACTGGCACACGTTTTTCTGGCCAGGAGGGCAGAGTTTTATTCTCCCCTTTCTGCTGTACTTTATGATGAGGTCTAAAAGCCAGAAGAGACCACCATAGTCCACAGCAGGTATAGAATATCTCCTATCCCTAATGATACTGAAACTGAAGAACCTGAGTTAAAATTTTCATTTTTACTAACATTTACTATTGAAAATATTTGATCAGCTTTTCTTTATCATAGATTTCAAGTACAAAAACACACCTTTTATAAAGTTATCCTATCATCTACTGAAGACTGCAGCAGTACAATACTCCCCCCATGTCTAGTAATACTCTCTTAAAGCTGTATTATCCTCATTGCTGTAAAGAGTCATTTTATCAGTTTTGAAATGTATAGTTTTCAACCTCTGCATTTTGTGGCTGTGACTCTGGAGTTACAGATGCTCAGAGGGCTTACGCTAATTCTTACTTACAGCTCAACAGTGAGAGTCTCCAGGGTATTTCAACAGCTTCTTCACACGGGGAAAAAGAGTCACAGCACAGCATGTTCCCTTGTGATCATCTGAAAAAAAGAGGAGTAGACACTGCTAACTTTCTGCCAATAGCATCCTCGTCTCCTGATGCTTGAAAAGCTTGGAAAAGCAGAAGCTGGTGCAGCTCCAGTCAGTGGTTGCCATGCTCAGAGGTAGGGCCAGTGTTTCCTTTTTAGTTTGCAAACCAACAGCGTTGTTGATCCAATGAGTAAGTGTTACCCCGTGACACTTACTTCATAAATATTCAGTAGTTGTTAATTACAAGAAAAAACAGAGCTGCTGGTTCAGGGGAGGGGGGATGTCCAGTGGTCAGGAAACTGGTGCTTTTTCCCATGAAGGCAGTACAGCAGCATGTGTCTCTCTGGCTGAGGGCATGAAAAAAAAAACAAAGAGGTTTTCAGAGTTGTTCAAGGTAGGTTATATTTTTCATAAAATGTTTAATTTAACAGTGACCTAGTTTTACAACAGCTTTCAGTGTCTTGGCTTTTCTTATCTCCTGTGTCTTATCCTACATCATTAGAACAGCAGAGCAATAGGCATTACAGACTTTGTTAAAGCAAACTAAATAAGACCTTAGCTGGGGGATTAATTCTTCTCTCCTATTTTGTTTCAGGCAGTCGTTATGTTACAGTTTCTTTACAGTTTTAAAGAGGTTTTAGCACATCTTTTATTGCACCTATTATAGTTTGGCTTGTTTTTTTTTTTTTAAGTGTCAGCCCAAAGCCCTTTCCTTATTCATCGTACATTTTTGAGTATCAGACTGTAGCAGCAGTCTTGAATTCCTCAGCCTTTTTACAGAGGATCCTTTGTTTTGTAAACATTCAATTAACTGTATGGAACTGGTGGCTAGCTTGACTAGCCAGTTTGGAAGTGTACAGGCAGTACAGACTCATGTCAGCTTTCAGCAGGAGTAAGTTGTGAGGTGCCAGTGATTTTACTTACCTTACTTCACCTACCAGAGGGAAAAAGTTATTCTGCATCTTGTCGTTGCAACGAATAAATGGCAGATCAAGTGACGTTTGCTGTCTTTTTTTGCGGTGTGCTACATACAGTGCTCTCAGATACTGTTTGATGGTGCCCCTCTGTGATTCTGTGCTTGTCTTTATGGAAGTATGCTGTAAAAACTCCTAGTACTCTATTATGTGCGCTGTGTTCCATATGTATTCAGCAGAGAAAGGGAGCAACTAGACAAATTATTTCAACCATGCTGCACCAAAACACATAAGGTCTGCAGAAAAAGGGCTCTTCCTTTCACCTCCATCTCAGAGATTCTCAGGAAATTTTAGCCTTTGAGAGTCAAGTCTAAGGAGCCTTGCTGTGCTGAGTCCTTCATGCATACCCTTTAAGGAAGGAAACAGCACAGGAGATGATGCCACATATGCCAGGTTTGTAGGAGTGTGAGTGCTTTCTCTATAGGGAGAATTCTCCTATGGGGAATCTCAGCCCACAGAGGTTTTCATTGATCCACATTAACGTGTGTTGCAGAAATTGAACATGTCAGATTGAAAAATGCAGGTAAGGTACGCTGGCAGTCTCTGAGCCATGACTTAAACAGCGTCAAGCCAAATGTATACTTCTGCACCTACAAGGATCATGCAAGCTAAAAGAACAAAGACGACTTAATAGGAACCGTTCAGAGCCAGTGTGTGCTGGTCTTGTTGAGCTTCACTTAATTCCTCCCTTTGTGCAAAGGGATTTCAGCTGTCTTTGCAAACATGAAATTTGTGCCTGCTCTAATGCTTCTTAAATTTTGCGTGACTTATAACCAACTTCCCAGTGACTTGTTA